TTTATATTTTCTTCTGCATGATGCCATCAGGAATCGCCTGGTTTCTCATATTATTGTTATAAGAAGCTAAATAAAAATAAAAATCTGTTCTGTCAGACCAGTATACCCGTCAGACCAGCATACCTCGTCAGACCAGCATACCCGTCAGACCAGCGTACCCTCAGTTAATACCAGTTCATCCCTATAGTTTATATATCTAGTTTTTTCCCTTTAGTTTTTTTATAAAAAAATTAACTTTTAAACTACCTCAACGGGTGTGTATCCATTTAGTCATGTACAAAAGAACTATTTACTTACTTCCTTTTTGGTGCTTTTTGAAGCGTATGGCGATCTGACCTTATATTGTATGTTTTGTTCGTGACTAAGGCTGCGTTCCCGCTGCAGGCATTAATGCTCAAATCTGATTATTTTTGCATATTTCTAAATATATTCAACTGTATGTGATCTCCTGTGTCCGCTGCGTTCCTACAGATTAAGTGTCCCGCGTGCGCACTAGAGGACGCGATGACGTCACAGCCCAGCGTGCTGTGTCTTTACGGAAGTAACCATGGATGGTAGCGCTGGAGCGCATGTAGCGATCTTTCCCAACCTTAAAAACTTTTCAAGATGGTTAAACATAAATACTGCTCTCTGCATCATGGTTGTTGTTTTTCTTGCCCCTTCTGCGTAGCAAGATGCAGAATAGTGACCTTTGTCGGGTATTAATGGCGTTCAGGTCGCATTCATACGACCTGGACGCCATTAATATTAACAGATCGGATTTGTATCGGATTTAGGACGACATAGCCAAGTGGCCTCGGTCGCATTGGAAAAACTCTGATCTGAGTTGATTAGACTGTCATTAAGAGATCAGATCCAGGTTCCCTACGGGCCGAAAAATCGGATTTGGGTCACTTCAGTCTGAAAACAGCCTAAAGGAATACACGCCCATCGAGGCAGTTTAAAGTCTATTTTTTGTACAAAACTAAAGAGATAAACGCAAATCTGATGTCCTGCACATGCGTACTGACTATAGGTACGCTGGTCTGACAGAACAACCGACCGTAGAGATACTAGATCCTTTGTGAACCACAGGTTCCTCTCTGCACACTCNCTGCAGATGGTACCACCACTGCTCTGGACGGCATCGCCACAGTTGTGGACGGTACTGCCACTACCGCTCAGCGGTGGCACTGGGGGAGGTTCTGTTTTTTTTCAGTCACCAGTGTTGAAATGTTTTTCTTAATGTTTGATTTGCGGTAAAGCTGAAGGATCCATGTTTGTGCCCAATGACGCGGTTTGAGGGAATGCTATGAGGCAGATGGTGCGAGGAGAGTCTTTAAAGTGCACCATCCAACTGGACCTTTGGTTCTGGAACCAGACTGTAGGACCATGTGGTTCTGAGGTGAAAAGCTCAGGAAACGAGTTCTAAAATAATGAAACTCAAACTTTGCGTCATGAAGAATCGTCCAGAAATCATTTATTTATGTCACATCAGCAAACATTCTGGGTCCAACAGAACGGAGGCGTTTGGTTCTGGGTCCAGTGGTCCAAACCAGTAGAATCTCCTGACGTCTCGGCAGGAGTTCCACTTCCTGTTTAAATCGAGTTCTTTCCTGATTTCTCACCACAAACTTTCATGCCTCACAGAACCCAGATGAAAGCAGGGGAACTGTCCCTTTACTGGATCTAAGCGGGTCAGAACCGTTCTACTGGAGCCTCCAGGAGGATGAGATGTTCCTGTTCCTGTTGGGTGGTGCTGTCAGCTGGAGGAAGCTCTGACCTCCAGCCAGTGACCTGATGTGATGGTGAGATGTTGGTCCTGAGCTTCAGGAGAGCAACGTGGAGAAGGTGTGGATGCTGCAGTCTGAAGAACCTGGAACAAACTGAGGAAGTTCTCTGTGTGCTTTGCTGAGAACGTGAGCGTCTCAGATCTAGGATAGGTAGATGCTGGACAGCAGTGGACTCCTGCTGCCCCAGCAGTGTCTCTGAGGTGTCCTTCAACATATTTTTACAACGAGGTGCTCCTTCCCCTGGAGGAGCCGCAGCAGCTCCGTCACTGCGTCCGTTTCCAACTAAAGACGTGGTCCAAACTCTACTGGCTTCAGATCTGCAGGCCTACTCCTCCTCCTCCTCCTCTTCCTCAGGCAGCGGTAGAAGCTCCTCCTTCAGACATTCCCTGTAGAAGCTGCTCAGCGTGGCGTAGAGGTGCTGCCGGCTTTGCCGGGACAGGAAGTGACCTTCATCAGGGTAGATCTAAAGGGGCAGAGGAACATGATCAGTTAGATTCCGTAAAGGTGCTGAGCGGTTCTGATTTCCCTGATCTATCTGTATCAGCCGATATCTGCATGTGGTCTCTGATCCTTCAGGGCGGCCATCATTAATGTTCGTTTTGATTCGTTAATAAAGTTATTATTTTTTTGTTATCACTGTCTGTGTCTGAGTGTCCGCCATAACCCCCCCATAGAGATCTATGGGGGTGACGCCATTTTCTATGAGTGTCATGAAGAAGTAGTGACTCGAAAAAATTCCCACAATGCACCTTGACAAGTGAGCAGATATATCCCAGAATGCTTTGCGAGGAGAGCTCTCTTTGCAAAGCATCGTGGGATTAATTATGGGGGCAAGAAAGAACAAAGATGGTGGAGGCAGCGTGGGAGGAGGCGGAGTTACTTGCTCAACAGGGAGTGAACATCTCTGCAAACGTTTAGTTTCATTTTCCGTTGCTTTTTAGCTCATTACTGAGGATGGAAGAAGTTAGCATAGTTAGCCTAGCGTAGCCTGCTACGCCCTCACACCCACGCTGTGCTGCTGAGGCCTGAACCATGAAGCAGGATCACCGGGTTCGCCAGATAACTTCAGGTTTAACCCTGATTTTCCTGGATCCTTCTTAACGAGGCTGGTCACCATGGTAACGTACGCTGAAAGCTAACCTGCTCTGGAGCAGGCTAGCTTTCAGGGTTGACCCAGCAGCCAATCAGCTGTCAGGAAACGATGACGAATCCTTTGATTGAAGATCTGATTTAATTCGGAGGGAAAACCAATTTAAACGAAACATCAGAATAAAGGAAGAGGAAACCCAGAACGCAGTTCAATCAAAATATGTTATCGACAAATTTAAAAGTTTTTATTTATTTGGTTTTTCTTTTCCTTCTTTTCTCCAATTACAACCTTTTACTAATTTATATTTTCTTCTGCATGATGCCATCAGGAATCGCCTGGTTTCTCATATTATTGATATAAGAAGCTAAATAAAAATAAAAATCTGTTCTGTCAGACCAGCATACCTCATCAGACCAGCATACCCGTCAGACCAGCATACCCGTCAGACCAGTATACCCTCAGTTAATACCCGTTCATCCCTATAGTTTATATATTTCGTTTTTTCCCTTTAGTTTTTTATTAAAAAAAACCTCAACGGGTGTGTATCCATTTAGTCATGTACAAAAAACTAATTATTTACTTTTTGGTGTTTTTTTAAGCGTATGGCGATCTGACCTTATATTGTATGTTTAGCTCGTGACTAAGGCTGCGTTCCCGCTGCAGGCCTTAATGCTCACATCTGATTATTTTTGCATATTTCTAAATATATTCAACCTGTATGTGATCTCCTGTGTCCGCTGCGTTCCTACAGATTAAGTGTCCTGCATGTGCAGTAGAGGACGCGATGACGTCACAGCCCAGCATGCTCTCTCTTTACGGAAGTAACCATGGATGGTAGCGCTGGAGCGCAAGTAGCCATCTTTCCCAACCTTAAAAACTCAATCTTGGTTAAACATAAATTCTGCTCTCCGCATCATGGTTGTTGTTTTTCTTGCCCCTTCTGCGTAGCGAGATGCAGAATAGTGACCTTTGTCGGGTATTAATGGCGTTCAGGTCGCATTCATACGACCTGAACGCCATTAATATTAAAAGATCGGATTTGTATTGGATTTAGGACGACATAGCCAAGTGGCCTCGGTCGCATTGGAAAAAATCTGATCTGAGTTGTTTAGACTGTAATGAAAAGATCAGATCCAGGTTCCCTACGGGCCGAAAAATCGGATTAGGGTCACTTCAGGCTGAAAACAGCCTAAAGGGATACACGCCCATCGAGGTAGTTTAAAGTCTATTTTTTGTACAAAACTAAACGCAAATCTGATGTCTTGCGCATGAGTACCGACTATAGGTACGCTGGTCTGACAGAACAACGGACCGTAGAGATACTAGATCCTAGATCCTTTGTGAACCACAGGTTCCTCTCTGCACACTGAGCCTGGTTCTGCTGGAGGTTTCTTCCTGTTCAAAGGGAGTTTTTCCTCTCCACTGTCGCTACAAGCATGCTTAGTGTGAGGGATTGC